AACTAAATTTCAATATTGTGATAATACCGTATACCGTGATAAAAGCATTAGCAATTAATCGCAACATGAGAATTTGATACCGGCATATCCCTAGTCACGTGTCACAGTTTGTGGGTCCAAACGCTCCTTCAGATCCCAAAACAAACGGTGCTAATATACACTTACATTGTGCTGTAGTACTACTGAAAAATCATGATCCTAACCTCTGTCTCCATACTGAAATCTCGTTAGCCTGACAGTAATTCATCTTTTCTGAATTGTTGAAATATTGCTGTCTGGGATACCGTGAGCCCAGAGACTGTAGTGTACACCATAAGTTTTTAAAAGCTTAGTTTAAAGGTGTGCTATCAATAAATAGAGCTCATAAATTCTAACCTTAAAATGGAGTAGAGGCTACAAACCGGAAACAGTATTCACAATTGTCACGATATAACTTGCATATTTTAATGGTGGAGTGCTGGGTAGCCCCGCCCACAGTGAAATCTTATTGGTCCAAAATTCTGCTCCACATAATGTAGATGTACATTAGACATCAACATATCTTCTGATTTGTCTGTGATTGTATCATGTCACAGAGCAGGTTCACTTTCAGTGTGAAGAAAAAAAATTACTTGCTACTTATAATATGTTTAGGACATTGTGTTATTTTTATCACTTTTTAATCTGCACTGTTTGTTCTTGATGCCATGTGTTGGCTGTTTTTTTTATGGTTTTGATCAGATATGACCCAAGTTACTTTCTTGTAAATCTCTGAAAATTCCCAAATGTTTTAAATGGGGTCACTCTTTGGTCTTGTATCACAAATCTCTGTGACATGTGTCTCAGTTTGCGCAGTAGCTGTTGTTTAGTTGCAGTTAATCTGATCTGTGGAGTCTTCAGTGTGCTGGCCAATCATCTGACTGTGCTGTTGTGACAGAAAGGGGCCACGCACTAAGAGATATTGTATATAAAACATTTTTTTTCTGGATCTCTGTCTCTTTCTCTCTCTCTCTCTGTTGTGTCCTCTCTGAATCAGCTTCATTGATTCACATACTTGCTCATTCTGTCCGTCGACCTTGTCTGACACATTAGTGTAACATTATCTTGCATTGTCTAGAGCCCTCCTGTCTCACATCAGACTAATCAATGCACTGGTTGTGTGTGTGTGTGTGTAATAACCACACATGGCATATCAGATCCTTTCCCTCTGCTTCTGCTGTTTCTTGTACAACTCCCATGCTGTCTGTTTTGTGTATTCAGCGTTTTGTAATGTGTCCCCAACATATTCAGCAATTCTAAACTTGCATACAAACACATGCTCTTGCAACACATACAAACACACTCAGTACCCTCTAATGAAGGACCCTTCGAATGCCATCAGGAAGCCTGTTGGATTTCCTGGACCAAATGAGATGCCAGGGAGACAGATGGACATGAGAGAGGCCCAATCAGATCCCACACTCAGATCAAAGTAGGAGTTTATTCTGCTGCATGATGGATTCACACATTTTGATCCCACCCTTGTCCCAAGCCCTTGACCCCTTTACCCTGGCACAACTTGCCTCCAAAGACATATCCCTAATAAGGATTACCCCACTTCACCTCTGATTGATGTTTGATGGTTATTATCAAAGAGTATTCCTTTATAGAGCATTGATTTAATTGATTAAGTTACAGATCAGCTGATGTCAGTCATCATGTTTGTCATGTCATGAGACCTAACATGACATTTGAGTCAAAGACATAAAATCAAAGGTATTATAATTGTTAATATACACCGAACAAAATTATAAATGCAACACTTTTGTTTTTGCCCCCATTTGTCATGAGCTGAACTCAAAGATCTAAGACTTTTTCTATGTACACAAAAGGCCTATTTCTCAAATATTGTTCACAAATCTGTCTAAATCTGTGTTAGTGAGCACTTCTCCTTTGCCGAGATAATCCATCCACCTCACAGGTGTGGCATATCAAGATACTGATTAGACAGCATGATTATTGCACAGGTGTGCCTTAGGCTGGCCACAATAAAAGGCCACTCTAAAATGTGCAGTTTTATCCCACAGCACAATGCCACAGATGTCGCAAGTTTTGAGGGAGCGTGCAATTGGCATGCTGACTGCAGGAATGTCCACCAGAGCTGTTGCCCGTGAATTGAATGTTCATTTCTCTACCATAGGCCGTCTCCAAAGGCGTGTCAGAGAATTTTTCAGTACATCCAACCGGCCTCACAACCGCAGACCACATGTAATCACATTAAAGTGACTTTATTCAATATTTTCCTGGGTTTAGCATGGATGCGCTTGCATGTCCTGTTGCATGGCATGATGGCAGTATATGAGAGCTTGTTTGACACTTCAATGTAAAGTGTTGACTGTTTTCACAAATAACTAAACATGTATTAATAAGTCAGTCTGACTAATTTGTGCATTTTAGTTGGTTGTATAAATATATTAAGCTGGTGAAGTGTGCAGATTTTTTATTTTATTTTAAAACAAATACTGACTTGAGACCACACATAAACCAACTAGTTCTACCCAGATGGTCACCTGTATGGATCCTGCTTTTGAGTGTACAAATCTCTTTTCTATGAGGGGGAATGAAAACATGCCAAACAAATGTCCAGCACTCTTTTCAGTCTAGTTTATAGCAACAATGATTATTTGCTTTCAGAGGTAATGCCACATGCAGCTCTCTTGTGCATATCTTATGTGAAACGGGTCAAAAAAAATAAAGCACAAGGAAAAGAATACCAAAACAATGTAACTTGCTGTACTCAAAGAAATAGAAGAGCATTCATATATGAGCACAGATATACATTGCCGTGTTGACACCCCTGTCTGCACATCATGAGCAGGTCCTATGAATCACTGCTGCTTTCTAAGCTTCACCTTGTGAAGTTTGAACAGTAACGATTCTGGTTGATTCTAGTAACATCCTCTGTGCCAATGGTTGCCAGCACCATCTGGGCCGGCGTCGCGCGCACACACACTCCCACACCGTCTTTCCCGCATCCTGGACCAGCCCCAGAATTTTAGCAGATGTCCCGGGTGCTCCACTGTCAGTCTCCATAGTAACATCTTGGGTTTTTTTTCTGCCTTTCCTCTCCATTTCCCCTTTCTCCCTCTTTCTGCAGTGCCAAGAGGAGGAAGATGGCTGATAAGATCCTTCCACAAAGGGTGAGTAAGAGATCTGAGCCTTTTCATTGCTTTCATTGGTTTAGCTGGGGGTTTTTGTGTGTGCAAATGTGCACGGATGAAGATGCACGGGTGTGCATGTACGGTACGGTAGACAGAAATGTTTTGGAGGGCTTTTGCCTTCAGTAATTGTCACCTCAACCAGACAATGCAGATATTGTCTGCACTGCCAGCAGGTCATTTTAAAAAATGAATTGTATATTGTAAAGTATCTAGATTTTTTTCTACATAATATCTGTTCTAGTTAATGTCAGCTTCCAATTGTGTATTATATTCTGAGATATTCTAATATTACAATATATAATCTAAAATATAAGACATGATGATGGCTGAGACATGGTGATGGCTGTTGCTGTCAATTAATTTTTTATAATTTAATAAGGTTTAAACATTGTATATGAATAGTTCTGTTCTTAGTTTTTTATAGTCATTGTGTCACTATGAGTTGGTTGTGTTAGATAAGATAAGCAGCATTATGTGTGTGTTATCAGGCCTTATAGATAGATACAACTCCAGTGGAGACGCCAGACGCATTAGTCATTGACGAAACACTCAGACTATCATACACAGAACAAGGGAAATAACTAGGATAGTTTGGATTTCTTTACCAGTGCTCCACCCTTTTTCAGATTCGTGAGCTTGTTCCGGAGTCACAGGCGTATATGGATCTGTTGGCATTCGAGCACAAATTAGACCAGACCATAATGCGCAAACGGGTGGACATCCAAGAGGCACTTAAGAGACCCATGAAGGTATTTCTCATCCTCGTAGTCCATATATTGTTTTTCATTTAATTTCCTGAACAGACTGTTTTATTAAACCAATTTTAAAAGTATATATGCGTTTGCACTTGTACTTTTGTTAACCTATATCAGACAATTTCAAGCAGGCATAAGGAACCTTGGAACAAGCATTTTCACCTGCAGTCTAGTCGTCTCTTATTGAACCATTTGACACCAAACAACTTAAATGAGCATAAAATGAGGCTGGTGCCATTATTCTGAGTGTTTAGCTTCTCATATTTTACCACTTATCTGCTTAAAAGCATTTTTCCAACATAATGCCTCTTGTGTTTTTGTGAGCATACAGGACTAATATATGGAAGCCCGTTTCCGCCACTGAATAAAAAATAAAACAAGGTCATTGCGACTTTTTATCTCGCAATTCTGACTTTATAACTCACAATTCTACTTCAAATCTTTTTATTGGTATTTTGTGTGACAATACAGATTGAAATAATGATAACAAAGTGAACAGTAGGATATTGTCCATTATTAATCCCTTCCACAATCCCCCCATTCATATTAACTCAGATAGACAGAAACACAGTAAATTAAATAATGAAACAATAACAAATTAAATAAAATAGATATAATTAACAATATAAAAAATAAAAAAATCCCTTCTAACAGATGACAAACATTACATGTTGCCAGTTACAGGTGCACAAGGTAGTCCTTTAATATAGTCCAAAAAGGGATCCCAAGTCTTATAAAAGGATTTGAGTGAACCAGAGAGTGAGCATCTTAACTTTTCAAGTCTGATACAGTAAAAAATGTCCTGTATCCACCTGTTATGTGTCGGGGGCGAGGTATGCTTCCACATAAGAAGGATAGCTCGTCTGGCCAAGATTGTAGCGAAAGCAACAACCTTACAATCTCGGGCTGTCAGATCAGGTCTAAGGGATACTCCAAAGAGGGCTAAGAAGGGATCAGGGTCTATATTAGTGTTGAGAACTTTATTAAATGTATCAAATACACCTGACCAGAAAGTTGCCAGCTGTGGACATGTCCAAAACATATGCAGGTGATCAGCGGGTGAATGTTTGCAGCGGTTACAGGCAGCGCTTCTGTCTGGGTAAAATTTAGCCAACTGGGCATTGGTTAAGTGGGCTCTGAATAGTATTTTACACTGCATCAAACCATGCCTAGCACATAAGGAAGAGGAGTGTACCTGGGTCAAGATGTTACGCCATAGATCCTCTGTAATAGTAACTCCTAGATCATGCTCCCAAGTATCTTTAAGAGCGTCAGTGGGGTTCACATTAATTGAATTTATTAAATTATAAATGACTGAGATTAAATGCTTATGGTTGATATTCAAATCAAGGAAATTATCAATGTGCGTTTCAAGGGGACGATTAGGAAAGTGAGGGAACTGCTTCTGTATAAATTGTCTGATTTGGAAAAATCGAAATAAGTGATGACTGGGTAAATTATACTTTTTAGATAAAAAGGAGAAAGAGGCAAAGACTCCCTCTTCATAGAGGTCACTAATCCTGCGAAGGCCATTAGATGACCAAACACGAAATGCAGGGTCTGAACTGGATGGGGGAAAAAAATAATTGTCAAAGATAGGCATGTGAATAGAACCTTTATGTAAGCCATAATATTTCCTAAATTGCACCCAGATTTTGAGGGTATTAGTGACTATATAACTCACAATTCTGAGAAAAAAAAGTCATAATTGCGAGATATGAACTCACAATTGCGAGAGAAAAAAACTCAGAATTGCGACTTTATATCTTGCAATTCAGACTTTATTACTCGCAATTCTGAGATAAAAAGTCGCAATTACCTTGTTTTGTTTTTTTATTCAGTGGTGGAAACGGGCTTCCATACTAATATCATCTTGAGGATTGAATAAAGATAAATATTCAATTTTTTCCTATTTGAAGCAAAAGCGAAAACTGCGTCTCTACATCTCCAACACGTTTAACCCTGCCAAGCCTGATGCAGAGGACTCTGAAGGAAGCATTGCATGCTGGGAGCTACGTGTGGAGGGCAAACTGCTGGATGATGTGAGTCAGTTGTACTTAAATCAATAATTGCACAACACAGATATTTTAAATCCTTTACTTTGAAACCCAGACGTGCTGGTGCTCGTTTTGCTGCTTTTATTGTGGAAAAAGTATGACTTTTGTATCACAAATAACTGTCTGCAATGTTTGATCATGCGCTTTTTGTTTCTGACATCATACCTTGTGAATGGCAGCTATGTGCATTTTGAATTAGTGAGGTTAAATTTACTCTCCCAGGCTCCGCGTCTTGACCACAGACATGTGCCTCACTTACCAGTGAGATCACTTCCCAGCCACCATCCAAACATACGTGCCAGAAAGTTCTGTGGGTCCCTTGACTTGGACTGTTTTTCCTTACTCTACTCTTTTGATAGTTGAGTGCCATGCACCCTTTTAACCAACAATGCGTATCTTAAAGGAATATTCTCGGTTAGTTACATCTTGTCGAATTCCTTTGTGGCATGCTTTTATTTTCAAAAGGAAAATTCAGCCTAAAAAGAATGCACTTAATGGCAGTCTAGCAGGCAAGTGTACATCACCCAGAATAAATGTTCAAAATAGGCAGCGATCATTATATTATTGAAGTGCATAAGCATAAAACATGAATATTATACATGCGTTACACTGGTTTGAAAGAATCATTTACCTTCTCAGTCGAAAGAATCATTCAAACCTTCCCATTTTGAAAGAATCATTTACCTTCCCACCCTGTTCCTTTTGCATGGTGTCACTGTGATATACCAGGAAGGGACGTGATATAACTATTCATGAAGTGCTGTTTATATGCAGCAGACTCCACCTACAGGAATTATGTTAGTAACGAATAACCAGAAGTTACCATAAAATGTTTCCTCTTTAAAATGAAGGTTAAGATTACTTGCCTGCTATCTGTAATTCGGTATCGCATAATTATATTTTATATTTGACTTCGATCTTAAATCTGTTTAGTGGTTTCCATCAATATGATTAAATAGAAGTTAAAGCTGAGGCTCATTGCATGTTTGTTTTCGCTCAAGCATGTTCTCTTCATCTCGAACCACAAAGGCACTGGAGCATGGCTAAACATGCAAAAACGTTTTGTTTTGTTTTTTTACTTTGTGATCTGAAATACCTGCTAATGTACCGGTTTGATTCATGTGATTGCAGCTGAAGCATCATGGGGACGAAATTCTTAAGAGTTTACGCAGTGCAGCATAAATCCAGCCTCTTGGGTCAGTCTATAACCAAGACCCGTTTAGCTAATACACTTGAGGCATGCTTTTCCATGCCCAAAGAAATGAAACTAGTACTTATTGATGATGGCTTGAAAGGCTCATGCCGCCTCTGGGCTGAATGGAATGTTGTCCTGCTCAGCAAATCATCCACCAGTATGCCACATTTGAAATGAACATTTAGCCCCTTCTCTTCTATGGAAAGTCTACCAGGAAAGTTCTTGTTTTCCAACAACGTCTTCATCCTTGAAACTGGATAGTTTGCTCAGTGGCACGCTCTGAAAACAGTATTCATGCTTTCTTGTACAGCCGGGAAAGATGAAGAGGAAGTTCTCCTCATTCTTCAAGAGTCTGGTGATTGAGCTTGACAAAGACCTTTACGGCCCTGATAACCATTTGGTTGAGGTTGGTGTTTGATTTCCTGCTTATCACTCTAAATAACAGTGAAACAATTTTTTTCAAACCATGAATTTTAAAACCAAGAACCAGAACCACAATAAATATCTTATATTTTAACTGCATTTCTGGCACGGCAGTAACTGTGTTTCTTTTCTTTTTAAGTGTGTGCAAGCGTGCTGATTTCTTTTTTTTTTTCTGCAGTGGCATCGTACCCCAACCACTCAGGAGACAGACGGTTTCCAGGTGAAGAGGCCTGGAGATGTGAACGTGCGCTGCACCCTGCTGTTAATGCTGGATTACCAGGTGAAGGCAACAAAATGCATCCAGTAATGTTTACTTGTATGTTTACTGTTCGAAGAACTGCAACATGGTGCAAAATGCGATTGTATAATTTCACCATGTCAAATTTGAAAGCATTTTTTCTTGGTCTTGTGTGATTTTCTTTTTGATTATTCATTTCTGTCAGACCTTGAAGCCTTGCGTTTCATTGAAGTAATGGGTGACTATCACATATATGAGTATATTAGAACCAAACTCTGTGAGTAGCAGGTCTACTTATTAATCATTTTGTGATGCTTTACTTTGTGACAGTCAAAATAGATAAATATTCTTCTGCTGTGCCTACTTTGTTAGATTAGAAGTTAATGAAACTTATTAATGTATTAAATTATTAATAGTTAATTAAATGTAGGCATGGGTCAGTACTCTGAAATGTAGATGGAACACACTAAAAAGTGACTGAAAAGCATTATTTATCTGAGAGCTTTGTTCTGAGTGCAGCCGCCTCAGTTTAAACTGGATCCGCGTCTGGCTCGTCTGCTGGGAATACACACACAGACTCGCTCCAGTATCATCCAGGCCCTCTGGCAGTATGTCAAAACCAACAAACTGCAGGACTCACATGACAAGGAGTACATCAACTGTGACAAGTACTTCCAACAGGTACACTTGATTGGAATAATTGATTAACATTCATCACAATCTGTAATTAATGAATGAATCAGCCTCACTTAAACCCCTATAATGTATTTGATTTTTAAAATAACACTTCTGTTCATAGTTCATAGCAACACATGGTGGAATTATTATCTGAAGCCAGGATACTGTATTTTAATCAAGAGCTTTTTTTGTTTCTCCTCTCACAGATCTTTGACGGTCCACGTCTGAAGTTCTCTGAAATTCCACAGCGCCTCACCAACCTTTTGCTCCCCCCCGACCCTATTGTCATCAATCACATCATTAGGTTTGGATGTCTGATTATGTGGTCAAATGTGTCATATTTATTGCAGATACTGTAGTGTTCTTCATCTTATACACTGCTGGTCAAATGTTTAGGGTCAGTAATTTTTATTCAGCAAGGACACATTATATAGATCAAAACAGTAAAGATCTTAATAATCTTGCAAAATATTTCTATTAAATCTATTACTATAACAGTTATTTTGAACTTTCTACTCATCAAAGAATCCTGAAAAAATGAGCACCATATCATATTAGAATGACACTTAAAACAGGAGTAATGGCTGCTGAAAATTCAGCTTTATCATAACATGAATAAATGAAATAAAATATATTCAAATAGAAAACAGTTATAAATATGAATAACATTTCACAATATATTTTTCTTTTACTATATTTTTGATCAAATAAATGCAGCCTTTGAGAGCATAAGAGACTTCGCCGCAAAAACATGACCCCAAACTCTTGAACAGTATTATTTTAATTCAACCTCATCACATCTCTGTGTCGATATGTACTGTATATAATCCAAAACAGGAGTATTTTGGTTCAGTTGTTGATTGTGCCTTGTGCTTTGTCTTCTCTATATAACATGAATTCTCACTGAGGTTATTTTTGTGCAGCGTCGACGCTAATGATCAGAAAAAGACGGCGTGCTATGACATTGATGTAGAGGTGGAAGATCCCCTTAAAGCACAAATGAGCAGCTTCTTGCTCTCCACAGCCAATCAGCAAGAGATTGCCTCTCTGGACAACAAGGTTAGAGCACGTCTCCCACATCAGTGTGGGCACAGCGGAGCAGATGATTGAACTTCTAGACATTTTGTTCTGAATTATAGGTTCTCTGATTTCGACTCGTATTATTACAGTTAAGCTGACAGCAGGATAATAATCAGGATTGAACAACTTCTGCAGTGCCATCATGTCTGTGAATACACCCTTGATTGTTCAGTTTGGTTCTAAATGCTCTGCAGATCCACGAGACTATTGAGTCCATCAATCAGCTGAAGATCCAGAGAGATTTCATGCTCAGCTTCTCCAGAGATCCCAAAGGCTACATCCAGGACTGGCTCAAATCCCAGAGCAGAGATCTGAAGGTTTGCAACAACGATCATTCTTCTACACATGACTCTTGACATTTATATAATGTATATATTTGAAAATGAAGTGTTTTTCTGTTACAGTACTTTCTCATATTTCAGTTTAATGTGCTGAGACAGATATATATATATATATAAGCCAGCTGTAGGCTGAAGTCCCAAAAAGTGTAAACACAACATTGCTCTGTTTCAAAACATTGTTCAGATTGTTTGAGTGGTCCGATATGTCAACTTCTGGCTCAACCAATGGCATGAGTTTAGGGCGGGACTACCTGTTTGGAACAGGTCAGAAGGGGCATAGGAGTGTTTGGTAAACCTGTTTGGAAATTAAGTTTGCTATTCTGTTCTGTTGCTGCGGTTAATGATACAGTTATTACACACTTTGATCCAAATTTATAGAAGTTTCAACAAGGTATTTGCTTCATATTCAGTAGTTTCCACTAGTAAAATCTGAAATTTCAACAGCTCTCATACACTGCCATTCAAAATCATGGGTAAAGGTCTTTCATTTTGGGCTCAAGATTTTATTTTTCAAAAGAAATGAATACGTTTATTTAGCAAGGATGCAACACATTAATTAAAAGTGAGAATAAAGACTTACATAAGAATCCTGAAAAAATGGTATCATGGTTTTCACAAAAATATTAGGCAGCACAACTGTTTTCAACATTGATAATAATAAGAAATATTTCTTGAGTACCATGATTTCTAAAGGACTGGAGTAAACTTCAGCTTTGCTATCACAGGAATAAATTAAAATTAATTAACAAAATAATCAATTAATTAATTCAAATATATTTAAATGGTAAGGGGTTCTTTTAAATTGTAATAATATTATTAGGTTATTTATTTTTTATCAAATAGATGCAGCCTTGGTGAGCATAAGAGACTGAAAATTCAGCTTTGCATCACAGGAATAAATAGCATTTTAAAATGTATTAAAACAGAAAACAATTAAAATAGTTATTTTAATTGTATATTGTAATATTTATAATCATATTTCTCAGTATTTTACTCTATTTTTGATAAAGAGCGTAAGAGACTCACTTTAAAGCAGCACTATGTAACTTTTGGCGCTCTAGCGGTTAATAAACAGAACTGCACACATCCCGCGGAAGAACATTCCAACCGGAGCTACTTCTCTAAGTTTATGTCTATGGCGATTCACGCAGGTATGTGTTACTCCGCAGCGGTGACGACCCGACCAGGCTACAATAGTCCAAATATAAGTACTTATTATAAGTGTACTGTAGTGATTCGGAATAAGACAAAAACGCGGTTTGGAAGATGAATTGAGATGATGTACTCGCTCATTATATACATTTTGCACATTTTTAACACAGAAAAGTTACATAGTGCTGCATTAAAACCTTAATTTATGTGATTTGTTTCTCTGCAGATATGCAGATATTAAAGATATTGAGATATTGTCAGATATGCAGGACAAATATTGTCCTGCATCATGTTTGTCCTGCATTTCTAACTGGTAACACATTTTGATCGTTTGTAGCTGATAACAGATGTTGTTGGGAACCCAGAGGAAGAGAGGAGAGCAGAGTTTTATCATCAGCCTTGGTCTCAGGAGGCTGTTAGCCGTTACTTCTACTGCAAGGTAAGAATAGCAAAACATAGTGTGAACCTCCTCAGTGTCCTCACTGCACTGGACAAAAACTGATTGGCTCTTTGTCTTTCCACTTTCTAAAGATTCAGCAGAGGAGGCAGGAGCTGGAGCAGGCCTTGGCCTTGAGGAACACCTAGAACTCACACCGACCACATTCAGAAAACATGGCTCATTTGTGACAACACTGCCTCCTCATGGAGATCCGTGCATTCTTTTACACAGTGTATGGGGGTTTGTGTGTGTCCAGTTATCATTGTTGTCACTGTGACCTACAATCCACCATAATGGACCAATCACACCCTGTTACTCCTGCAGCCCCATTGTATAGACCAATTTAGAGTAGACGTCACAGTTACGTCACTTGCAGCTGCGCGCGCATAGTGGTTGCAGAAAAACACTGGGAACAAGTGGAGGTAAATGGGTAAAATCCATGGAATAAAAGAAAAAAATATTTTTGTGCCTTTTGATGTCAAGGTCGGAATGCAAATAATTTTTATAGAATACTGTCGTCATTTGAAGCTAAACGCAGACGTTTAAATGGACATACTATAGATGAAAACTGCTATGATTACTGTACTTTTAAAGCATAAATTGGATTTAAACAATAGGTCTACATAATATTCACATATGCTGTTCATAGGGCACGTATTGTATTAGCCCTACAGTTACAGCATGAAATATTATTTAAACCTTACTATTAGAAATATTATTTAAACCTTACTATTATCAAGATTTTATTTTTCAAAAGAAATGAATACGTTTATTTAGCAAGGATGCAACACATTAATTAAAAGTGAGAATAAAGACTTACATAAGAATCCTGAAAAAATGGTATCATGGTTTTCACAAAAATATTAGGCAGCACAACTGTTTTCAACATTGATAATAATAAGAAATATTTCTTGAGTACCATGATTTCTAAAGGACTGGAGTAAACTTCAGCTTTGCTATCACAGGAATAAATTAAAATTAATTAACAAAATAATCAATTAATTAATTCAAATATATTTAAATGGTAAGGGGTTCTTTTAAATTGTAATAATATTATTAGGTTATTTATTTTTTATCAAATAGATGCAGCCTTGGTGAGCATAAGAGACTGAAAATTCAGCTTTGCATCACAGGAATAAATAGCATTTTAAAATGTATTAAAACAGAAAACAATTAAAATAGTTATTTTAATTGTATATTGTAATATTTATAATCATATTTCTCAGTATTTTACTCTATTTTTGATAAAGAGCGTAAGAGACTCACTTTAAAGCAGCACTATGTAACTTTTGGCGCTCTAGCGGTTAATAAACAGAACTGCACACATCCCGCGGAAGAACATTCCAACCGGAGCTACTTCTCTAAGTTTATGTCTATGGCGATTCACGCAGGTATGTGTTACTCCGCAGCGGTGACGACCCGACCAGGCTACAATAGTCCAAATATAAGTACTTATTATAAGTGTACTGTAGTGATTCGGAATAAGACAAAAACGCGGTTTGGAAGATGAATTGAGATGATGTACTCGCTCATTATATACATTTTGCACATTTTTAACACAGAAAAGTTACATAGTGCTGCATTAAAACCTTAATTTATGTGATTTGTTTCTCTGCAGATATGCAGATATTAAAGATATTGAGATATTGTCAGATATGCAGGACAAATATTGTCCTGCATCATGTTTGTCCTGCATTTCTAACTGGTAACACATTTTGATCGTTTGTAGCTGATAACAGATGTTGTTGGGAACCCAGAGGAAGAGAGGAGAGCAGAGTTTTATCATCAGCCTTGGTCTCAGGAGGCTGTTAGCCGTTACTTCTACTGCAAGGTAAGAATAGCAAAACATAGTGTGAACCTCCTCAGTGTCCTCACTGCACTGGACAAAAACTGATTGGCTCTTTGTCTTTCCACTTTCTAAAGATTCAGCAGAGGAGGCAGGAGCTGGAGCAGGCCTTGGCCTTGAGGAACACCTAGAACTCACACCGACCACATTCAGAAAACATGGCTCATTTGTGACAACACTGCCTCCTCATGGAGATCCGTGCATTCTTTTACACAGTGTATGGGGGTTTGTGTGTGTCCAGTTATCATTGTTGTCACTGTGACCTACAATCCACCATAATGGACCAATCACACCCTGTTACTCCTGCAGCCCCATTGTATAGACCAATTTAGAGTAGACGTCACAGTTACGTCACTTGCAGCTGCGCGCGCATAGTGGTTGCAGAAAAACACTGGGAACAAGTGGAGGTAAATGGGTAAAATCCATGGAATAAAAGAAAAAAATATTTTTGTGCCTTTTGATGTCAAGGTCGGAATGCAAATAATTTTTATAGAATACTGTCGTCATTTGAAGCTAAACGCAGACGTTTAAATGGACATACTATAGATGAAAACTGCTATGATTACTGTACTTTTAAAGCATAAATTGGATTTAAACAATAGGTCTACATAATATTCACATATGCTGTTCATAGGGCACGTATTGTATTAGCCCTATATATACATTTTGCACATTTTTAACACAGAAAAGTTACATAGTGCTGCATTAAAACCTTCATTTATGTGATTTGTTTCTCTGCAGATATGCAGATATTAAAGATATTGAGATATTGTCAGATATGCAGGACAAATATTGTCCTGCATCATGTTTGTCCTGCATTTCTAACTGGTAACACATTTTGATCGTTTGTAGCTGATAACAGATGTTGTTGGGAACCCAGAGGAAGAGAGGAGAGCAGAGTTTTATCATCAGCCTTGGTCTCAGGAGGCTGTTAGCCGTTACTTCTACTGCAAGGTAAGAATAGCAAAACATAGTGTGAACCTCCTCAGTGTCCTCACTGCACTGGACAAAAACTGATTGGCTCTTTGTCTTTCCACTTTCTAAAGATTCAGCAGAGGAGGCAGGAGCTGGAGCAGGCCTTGGCCTTGAGGAACACCTAGAACTCACACCGACCACATTCAGAAAACATGGCTCATTTGTGACAACACTGCCTCCTCATGGAGATCCGTGCATTCTTTTACACAGTGTATGGGGGTTTGTGTGTGTCCAGTTATCATTGTTGTCACTGTGACCTACAATCCACCATAATGGACCAATCACACCCTGTTACTCCTGCAGCCCCATTGTATAGACCAATTTAGAGTAGACGTCACAGTTACGTCACTTGCAGCTGCGCGCGCATAGTGGTTGCAATGCAAATAATTTTTATAGAATACTGTCGTCATTTGAAGCTAAACGCAGACGTTTAAATGGACATACTATAGATGAAAACTGCTATGATTACTGTACTTTTAAAGCATAAATTGGATTTAAACAATAGGTCTACATAATATTCACATATGCTGTTCATAGGGCACGTATTGTATTAGCCCTACAGTTACAGCATGAAATATTATTTAAACCTTACTATTAGAAATATTATTTAAACCTTACTATTA